CTTTTTAGAATATATCTTGTCTTATAGCTTTTACTTTGGATAATTTTAAAATGAGATTAAAATTTTAAAAAAGCAATACCTAAATACTGAAAATAAAATAAAACAAGTCAACCTAAGCATGTATTAGCTGGTGTAGAACAATATAGAGCAGAACTGTACAAAAAAACAGTAATTTGTTCATTCTTACAGGAGTACATCCTTAGAAGAGAACCAACTGGAGGGGACAAAAATCTTAAATTATTTTCAATAATCATATTGGTATTGATTGGTATTATCATCCTAAGACTGTTGTGGGTGTGCTGTGAAATAAATGAAGTCATTAACTGAGAAATATTCCTATGAACTCATAATCTATTTTACCTTAAAAGTAAAACAAACAAAAAACACATTCTCTTGCACTGTACAGTGAAAAGGCAATGAATAACCCTCCCCCTGAGTCTGCTGTCTTAAAATAGCATTTACAAATCAAAGAAAAAAAATGGCTGATTTTAGGTCTAGAGCAGGAACTAGAACAGTTGTGGGCAACCCCTGGCACGCGTGCCAAACATGGCACGCCAGTAACTTTTGCTGGCACACGAAACCCTCTCTTATAATTTTCCATTTACAATTTTTTTTCTTACTATCGACTTTATTTTTCAGATAAATTCAGTATAGGTGCATCTTAGATAAATAAATAATTTTACATAACAAGTTATCTTAAAGACCATAGACATGGATTGACGAGAGAGGGGAAGAGCAATTTCTATGCCTCTGCCTTAACTCTCCCTGCCTTCCTAGATCCGACCAGTGTTTTGGTTTCATCCATATACGCTTGTGAATCTTTGTTCTCAGTGATGAATTTTGTTAAGTCTCATAATAGGAGTAGCCTGACGGATGAAAGTAGTAGCTCGTGCATATCTCTGAAGGTCACGAAATATAAACCTGATGTAAAATCTCTGTCATCAGTGATGCAGCAGCAAAAGTCCCACTGATAATATCAAACGGAGTCATAAAGTTTTCTGTCGGACTATCAGTGTACATGTATACATTAAAAAATAAATGTATTTTTCATCATCATATACTGTGTTTTTGTCGCTCAAATGAATTTTATTATTTCTTCAAGGTTCTGCACATACGTACACCTTAAGAGATATCAAGTAGGCGTAACATGTTCTCAAAAAATTAGGGTTGGCACGCAGAAGAATTTTGAGCCAGAGATTTTTGCTGGTTTTGGCACGCACTCACAAAAAAGGTTGCCCGCCCCTGAACTAGAACATTACATACCATAAAGCAAGGAGGCAATCAGACTATTTGTGTCATGTTGAAAGAACACAAGAGCCAACTTGTAGAGGTATGTATATACTTTCAACATATGCCTCCCCCACCCCCACAGTTACAGATGGGACAATTTGAGTATTAATAATATAATGAACTGAAATACATTAAATGTATTTAAATGAATTCAAAATGAAACTAAGAGAAAAAAAAGGAAAAATAAAAAACTCAGTCACTGTTGGGAGATGCTAGTGAACCAGCTCATTATTCTGAAAACTAGAAAATGAAAGGAAAAGAATCAAGCATATATCCTGGCTTTCCTGTGTAAACTGTACCACTGAAAAACCAAATAGTAGATGAGAAGCTTCTCTTTCTAGAAGCATTCCAGGTATTAAATAAGGAAAAAAAATGACAGAATTAGAACATCACCATTTTAATCAATGGGGTAGGGATCAACGCCAAAAAGATACTATCAGACATGTGCATCCAAATGGAAGAATACACTACCTACGAAGTAGCTGTGTGTTGGGGGTAGGGGACAGGGACAGGGGGCACCCTGAATTGGATAGCAAGCCTCTTGATCCTATAACCAACTAACCAATTTACAGGAAATGCAGTAGACAAAGGAATATGTGGAATGACTGTACAAGAATGTAATCAGCCATAGTCAGTTTGGCTCAGTGGACAGAGCATCAGCCTGAGGACTAATGGGTCCCAAATTTGGTCAAGAGCACATGCCTGGGTTGCAGAAGGCAACCGATCAATGATTCTCTCTTATCGTTGATGTTTCTATCTCTCCCTCCCTCTCTAAAATCAATAAAAATATATTTTAAAAAATGTAATCAGCAAAATCTACAGGAGTTGGCAAACTACACTAGATGCCTCATTTGTAATATTTTTATTGAAACAGCTATGTCCATTCATTTATCTACAGTCTAAGGTGCTCTCACACAACAGAGTCGAAGAGGTGTAACATAAACATATGACCTACAATGGCTAAAATATTTTCTACCTGGCCCTTTAAAAAAAACTTTGCCAGCCCTAACCGGTTTGGCTCAGTGGATAGAGCATCAGCCAGCGGACTCAGGAGTCCCAGGTTCGATTCTGGTCAGGGGCATGTGCCTTGGTTGCGGGCACGTTCCCGGTGCGGGGTGTGCAGGAGGCAGCTGATCGATGTTTCTCTCTCATTGATGTTTCTAACTCTCTATCCCTTTCCCTTCCTCTCTGTAAAAAATCAATAAAATACATTTTTTTAAAAAAAGTAAAAAACAAAACAAAACTTTGCCAACTCTTACTCTACAGCAGTGGTTCCCAAACTTATTTGGCCTACCGCCCCCTTTCCAGAAAAAATATTACTCAGCGCCCCCTGGAAATTAATTTTTTTAAAATTTTAATAACAATTAAACAGAAAGATATATGTATTAATGTTTCTACCTTTTTCGTAAAATATAGTAAAGAAAGGTGTAAATTAGAAACACTGAAGTTTGAAATTATGAAACTATTTATTGAACTCAGAATAGAAAGGTAATACAAAAAAAGTTAAAACAAATGCACCTGTGGCCATCACCGCCCCCCTGGATCGCTGCAGCGACCACCAGGGGGCGGTAGCGCCCACTTTGGGAATCACTGCTCTACAGGATAAACTCAATTTTTTCAACAAATAAAAGTGGGGGGAGGGGAGATGGAAGGAAAACCCTAAAGATTAAAAGATCTGAAGTTATTTTTTTCCTTTTTAAAAAATATTTCACAGTTCATGTTTTATTATTTTTTAACAATTCTTTATTGTGGAAAGTATTACATATGTCTCCTTTTTTCCCCTATTGACCCCCTCCAGCCTGCCCCCACTCCCCACCCCTGCCCCCATCCCAGGACCTCACCTCCCCATTGTCTGTGTCCATGCACAATAGGCCATGAATATTCAATAGTTATTTTAATTAATCACAATGTGTAGATCTTATTTGCATCTGGAGTCAAACAAAATCTAATTTTTAAAAAACTACAGATAAGCATTTGGATACAAACTATATTTGATGAAATTAAAATCTTACATTAGGAGCGATAATATAAAAAATAAAATAGTTCCCTTCTAGAGATACATACTGAAAAATCTTAAGCAAAATATGAAGTGTGGGATTTGTTTCAATAATACAGAAAGGGAAAGGGAATGAAGCTACAGATAAAACAAGACTGCCCATGAGTTGGTAATAGCTGAAGCTGGGTGATGGCTCCACTCTACGTAGTATTCCTTAATGCGCACGCAAGACAATACTCATGTAATCATTAAGCATGTCATGGTGGAATCCGGGAACATTTATGTTTCTAGATGTTTCACTATACATTATTTATAAAGAAAAAAAAGTCATTTTACTTCAAGAAAACTCTGAAGAAGTAACTACCCTATCTTTTGATACAGTAAAGGAAAACTTGCCCCCTGATGAGAAATAAACAGTTTTTTTCATTATCAGGATGGAATGGGAGCAAGGCCATCTCTAGCCCATAAAAATTTGTTAAATTAGAAAAAGGCACCCTCTATGATATAATAAATATATAGGCTAGTATGTGAATGGGGACCCTTAGACATGATACCGCCACAACACACAACCTGCACGATTGTAGGACTGGCCCTTGATGGAAATTTTAAAAGTATACGAAGTATACCTTGGTTGCCAAAGTATACAAAGAATTCAACTCCACCTTTTTGCAAATTAGTTATCTAGAAAAGGCACTCTCTCCATATCTTCCTCATCTGCTCTTTATCACTCAGAAATGAACGTATTTGGAAACAGGGTGGGGGACAAGTCTATACACTTTCATAGGCCTAACATTTTCTTCTTGAGTTATCTAAATTATCAGAAACATTTCTCCAGAAATGTGGTTTCTCCCCATTGCAATAAACATAGCCTCACCAGCATTTCAAAGGCAAGAAAACTGCTGGAAAGAAGGCATGACCAGAGGCAATCAGCTAAGCTGTCCATGACCATAAGCCCCACTTCTAGTAGGTAGTACAGTGAGAAAAAAACAGGATTGATCACTATTTTTCCTAAATCCAGTAAACAGAGGGAACCCCTATCACTATTTGAAAGTATACTATTTAAAGAGGAGATATCAACAAGGGGTTCTTGAATACAGATATGAGGAAAAAGACAAAGGATAATTTTAAAAAACAAACACTGCAGAAAATGAACTATAAATGTCTATTTACAGGTTCTGTGAGTCATGCTTTAAAATGTATACTATGTATATCACATATACCAAAAACATACTTTCACACACAATAGAAAAGCAGTCATTTTCAACACACACATACACACCCCAAGTATATGTTTAGATTTTTATTTTTATATTAGCCCCATCGTAGTAGGAGTGTTAAAATTAACAAAAATGTAACTAAAACTTTAAAAGGGATAAGTACTTTTAAATGATTTATTTTATATCAAAGTGACAAAAAATCAAGCAGAGTGTGGACTTCTGACAAGACTGGTAATCAGAGTTATGTTTTCTAGAAAGGATGGACAGCTTTTATTTTTATCCTGAAAATGGCAGAAACCTTATGATAACTTCTAAATATCTTTGTAGCAACAGAAATTTCAGCTGTCAGCTTTGAGTACCTTTTATATACCATATAAATAACTTAATATTAAATTTAAGGCAGTTTTATGAGGTAGAGAATTACAAAGTCAAACTAAGATTCCTTCCAAGCCCTTCCACCCACAATATCAAATTCATAGGACTAGACGTAAACTTACTTGGGCTGTTAGAAAGGTATCATCTTCACCTTCTTGAGCTTCCATTTCCTAAGTAAAAGGGTATACAATAGCTGCTTTACAAGGTATCCGGGTAACATGAGAATGCTTTTATGCTATACCCAATTATCACTAGTTTTATTTCCTCACAATGTCTATGATACCGTGGATGCAAAGTCAATGCTTCACAATTCAGACAACATCCTTTATGCTAAAATAAAGACAATCACACTGGCAGAGAATTAGAAAAATCTCTTTCTTGAGGCCTGCATTTATTAGGTGACGTAGAACATCAGTGTTTTAAGCGTGACTAAGCACTAACAGCACTGACTCACTAATCCACTGATTTACTTAAGACATACCACTAGCACTAGCACACTTCAAAGTGAAACAAACAGTCTGTTTCATTCAAGAAAAAGATTTTTAAAATTATATGCTTTTAAATTATACTTTTATAAGTAACCTCCCCACCCTTGATAGTACCCAAGGAAATGCAAATTAATATTTTATATCTACTAAAGTAGCAAAAGCCGGAACCGGTTTGGCTCAGTGGATAGAGCGTCGGCCTGCGGACTGAAGGGTCCCAGGTTCGATTCCGGTCAAGGGCATGTACCTGGGTTGCGGGCACATCCCCAGTAGGAGGTGTGCAGGAGGCAGCTGATGGATATTTCTCTCTCATCGATGTTTCTAACTCTCTATCTCTCTCCCTTCCTCTCTGTAAAAAATCAATAAAATATATTTTAAAAATAAATAAAAAAATAAAAAAATAAAGTAGCAAAAAAAAAATGATCACCAGGTAATGGTGGCAAAGTCAGAGCAAAATTGGTACACTCATTCATAGTGGGGTAAAAAACAACTTACATGTCCCAAGTTAAGGGAGTGGCTATTAGACACATAGAAAGCAGTTTAATAAATTATGGTATAAAACACAGATTATAAAGTCCTTATGTGGAAATATTATATAGAATAAATAGCAATTATTTAGAACATTATATAGAATAAATAATTACTAAGTAAAATATATACATGTGTGGAAAATAAAGTAAAATTAAAAAGGTCTTTTAAGGCAGCAGGATTCTGGGTGATTTATAAATAACTTTAAAAATATATTTTTTGAAAATTCTGGGATTTCCACATTGAACTAGAAAAAAAACTTATTTAGTACTTAATTCAGCTGAGTCATGTTTTAAAAAAACTGGCTAAAGACCTGACTTTCGATGTCCTCTTTCTCAATATCTTCAATTGCTTCTGCCTCTATTAATTCACGAGTTCTCTTGTTTTCTTCTATGGAAAGTAACTCCTTTAAACGCACAGTCTCCTCTTCATTTTCACCAAACTCTTCAGAGTCCTTTAGTTCATCATTTCCATCTTGTTCATGTGCCTCTTGATTCTCCAATTCACAGTCCTTTTAATGGTAAGAAAATTTGGTACAACTAGAGGCAAAGTAGTGTAGGCTAGCCACCAAATGTTTTTGGTAATTTATATCTCTACATGTTTTAAATTTTACCATATGTTGACTTTATTTTCTACATGTTTAAAATTTTACCATATGTTGACTTTATTTCCAAAGTAAAAGTTCAGTCATTTTACCTTATACATTAAACTATGTCTTTAAAAATGGGGGGGGGGGGGGGGGGGGTCTAATACCAAAGTCATTAAATCACATTTTGAGTTCCCAAATCTCTCATACGGAACTACACATAAACTGGATTGCTATTAGAGATGCACTCAAATTCCAGTTACTTAATATTTACCAACTCACATCCTAGGGCTCTCCGAGAAAATAAGGCTTCAAAGAAATGACTTGATTTCTCCAGGTGCCATAGTTTAGTTTAACTTCAAAGACCCTGGAAGTCATATATTATAGCTAATGTTTATTTCTAATTAATAATAAGGAATCGCAACTGTTATACAAATGTCTGTACTTGAAAAATATTCAAATGATTAATTTAAATGTATATGTCTTGAAATCTATCACTAAGTCACAAAGCTAATTAGGCAGGGGAACATTGGCTGGGATTATCTCTGAGGCTCTTTCAAAGTTTATAGGTACAGGATACTTCAGTGCAAACAAAGAAAAGCCGCCATCTGTTTAGTTTCCTCTTTAACTGCACTTTAACTGCAGAAAAAGAGTTGAAAGCAGTGAACATTCCTTCTTCCTTTCCTAGCAGATTTAAGAAAAGGTTTCTGGGTTAAAGAAGAAAATGGCAGGGCCATTTTCAGTTCATTCATAACTGAACTGCAGTGAGGGTACAGAAATTTCTAAGGGGGGCAGGGGAGCAGGCAAAAACAATAAATATGATTGTTTGGGCATGTGGAGTTCTTGGGGAGCAGGGAATTTCCAGGCCAGGGTTTGACCAACCTCGCGTCACATATGAGTGGAGGAACACTGGGGACTGAAAACAAATTGTCAAATTTTTATATGACAATATAAAAATAAGTGCAAATAAGTAAAAAGCAAGGTGAGTCACTGAGGGAACATCATCTATTCTAAAGTGCCTTAATTTCTATCAACTACATCATATATTCTGATACTTTCAAAGTGAAAAGGAAATATAAAAAAGAAACTGAACATATATTTAAATAGGATTGGGTTTGTTGTTGTTTTTTTGTTTTTTTAAAAAAAAGCTCTTTTGGCCCTAGCTGGTTTGGCTCAGTGGATAGAACATTAGACTGTAGACTGAAAGGTCCTGGGTTCGATTCCAGTCAAGGGCACAGGCCTGGGTTATAGGCTACATCCCCAGTAGGAGGCAGCCAATCAATGATTCTCTCTCATCATTAATGTTTCTTTCTTTCCCTCTCCCTTCCTCTGTGAAATCAATAAAGATATATATATATATATATTTTAAAAAGCTCTTTTGTTCTGACATTATAACCAGGTTCATTTAATAAAAACACAAAGGCATCCTTTGCAGCACATATTAGAAACAATACTGTTATGCTGAATAGAAGTATGTATCTCCTTGCAACATTTCAAATGACTATAAAATATCTATGAAAAAAAAATGTCTATGAACTGAAGAACTAAAAGTTGGACATTTGAAAATTAAAAGAATTTTTACTCAGTCACAATGTTCTTTCAGCTTACGGATACTTTTTGCTTAAGCATATACTCACTAGTGAAGACAACCTGAGAAAATAACAAAGGGACAAACCTAAAGGAAGACATACCACAATGAAAACAATAGAGACACTGAAGAGCTCTTAAGGCAGTGGTTCTCAACCTTCCTAATGCCGAGACCCTTTAATACAATTCCTCATGTTGTGGTGACCCCCAACCATAAAATTATTTTCGTTGCTACTTCATAACTGTCATTTTACTACTGTTATGAATTGTAATGTAAATATCTGATATGCAGGATGTATTTTCATTGTTACAAATTGAACATAATTAAAGCATAGTGATTAATCACAAAAACAATATGTAATTATATATGTGTTTTTCCAATGTTCTTAGGCGACCCCTGTGAAAGGGTCATTCGACCCCCAAAGGGGTCGCGACCCACAGATTGAGAACCGCTGTCTTAAGGGCTCAAAGAAAAGCTAATTACAGGCACTTGATCTTCAATTTTAATGGATCCCCGAGCAAATATTGCCTAAGATTATCTAATTTCAGGGTTAACTCCTCAACCAAACAATTTTTTCTTTCTGTGACTGCCCTTAAAAGTGCAAGGTACAAAGTGTGAGGTGTGTGGTCTGTGTGTAACATGGGAAAAGTAGAGAACTAGATAGGAGATGGGCAGGTGAATGGACATAAGCTTTCTTCATGGTGGAGCACACAGCCATTCGGAGATGTTATGACAATATGGACTAACTCTACACAGAAGACAAAATGTATGGGGATACGAATGTATACAATTTAAGAGGAACTATGCTCAGTAAATAATTCCTGCTAATGCCACACTACTTAGGCCCTAATGATCAGTAAGTATTAGATCATGTTTCAGTCAACTGAAAACAAAACCTTAACTACAATTAAAAAATACTTGGTATACAGAACTGGCCGATTAAAATTACATACATTATTTTTCTGGCTGGTCTATTTCAAATAAGTTCTTTTTTAACCAAAAGACCTGTCTTATTTATCTTTAAAGCACAAAACAAATTTCTTAATTTTATCTTTACAAAGTAGCAACACGACAGAAATTCTCTATTTTAAGAACTACATTAATCTAGGTTCTGTATATTATATAAAAGCTAAATGCAACAGGCAAATTAAAAATAAATTATTGTCCTGGCAGTATGGCTTGGGTGGAGCACCGACTCGTACATAGAAAGGCCACAGGTTCGATTCCTGATCATGGCACACACCCAGGCTGCAGGTTCGATCCCCGATCTGGGCAAGTGCTGGAGGCAACCAATCAATGTCTCACTCTCACATCAATGTTTCTCTCTCTCTCAACTCAATAAAAGCGTGTCCTCAGGTGAGGATTAAAAAAGAGAAATAAATTATCACCCTGGCCGGTATGGCTCATTTGGTTGAGTATCATCCAGTGCACTGAAAGGTCACTGCTTCAATTCTGGTCAGGGCACATACCCAGGTTTTGATTTCAATCCCAAAAGTGCATACAGGAGGCAACCAATCAATGTTTCTCTCTCACATTAGTGTTTCTCTCTCTCTCTCCCGCTTCCCTTCCCCTCTCTCTAAAATCAATAAAAACATATTTAAAGAAGAAAAAAAAAGTCCTAGCTGGTTTGACTCTATGGAGAGAGCATTGGCCTGCGGACTGAAGGGTCCCAGGTTCGATTCTGGTCAAGAGTACTTGCTCAGGGTGCGGGCTTGATCCCTAGTAGGGGGTGTGCAGGAGGCAACCAATCAATGATTCTCATCATTGCTGTTTCTCTCTCTCCCTCTCTCTCCCTCTCTGAAATCAATAAAAAAAATAGATAAAAATAAAGTAAAATAGCCCTAACAGGTTTGGCTCAGTGGATAGAGCATCGGCCTGCAGACTCAAGGGTCCCGGGTTCGATTCCAGTCAAGGGCATGTACCTTGGTTGTGGGCACATCCCCAGTGGGGAGTGTGCAGGAGGCAGCTGATCGATGTTTCTCTCTCATCGATGTTTCTAACTCTCTATCCCTCTCCCTTCCTCTCTATAAAAAATCAATAAAATATATTTTAAAAAAAATAAAGTAAAATAAATTATCAATATCCTTCATTGTAGTACCTTGTCCAGGAACAAACATATCAATTGTCCTATAACTGTTCCTCTGGCCCCTTTGCCTCAGATTTCTACTTAAAAACTCAGACAGGCATTATTTTTAGCTTTACTCTCATTTAACTAAAGATAACATTATTTATTATATTTTTCAACTATGAGAATTAATGAGATTGACAAGATTACATAAGTCTCTATATTTGACCTACATACTTCAGTTTCGTTAAGTAAAATGCATGAGTTCATCATGCAACATGCTAGGCTCGAAATAAACATCTTAACCTGAGTAATTAACACTTTACCTTGACAAAAGCTTCATCTTCCACAGAAGCATCTCCACTCAACTCATCTGCTTCCTGTTTTTTACCTGCGAAAGAAGGAAAATGGGCTAACAACCAATACTTTATTACTTTAAGAGTAAAAATCATCCAGAGATGTTTACCCCACAGTACTACTCTACTCCCAATCATCTGACTAAGCCAATGCCGATTGCTTCTAAACCATCTGCTCAAAGCTGCCCAAACAAAAAAAGCTTTAACAATGACAGGCTGTTTCACTAAAATAAACTGTGCAAATAATTAATCCTTCATTTGAACCCATCATCTTAACTGACTTGATAAATCTGATACATTTTTCTTTACACCACTCTAATTCTCTAGCTTCAATTCTCCCAGAAGCAGCAGAACCTTTTAATGATACTCTACTAACTGCAGATATAACCAGATGCCTGACTCATATCCCCCAGCAAAGCCTTCCCTACGTTCTCTTCTTCAATAAGCTTTCTCTGAAATAAAATTCTCAAACTTAATCTACACCTACAATCCATCAGTTGATTATTTATTAATTACCTTATACTCTCAAGTACATCTTGCTTCACCATTACAGAAGAAATTCCTTAAGTACAGTGACTGCCCTTAGACTGATTTTGTAGTTCTCCAAAGGCCTACATATAAATAGTGCTGAGCATTTAACGTAATGACCAATTTAACTGGTTAGGCAAGTAGAAATTACTTCAGAATGATAACTGTTAATAGCTTCCAGAGAGACTACAGGCCTTCCAATGCAGCCCTCATCTTCAAAAGTTTAAGCTGGTGGTGGAAACTAGAAAATGTTCTCCACACCAAAAAGCAAACGAAAAAAGTTTCTCACAGAGCCAATGCTAAAAGTTTGTTTTCATATTAGTCCACAAAACCTACTTAATAACCCATAATGAAGAAGAAATGCTGTTAAAAACACAGCGGCTGGGACCTCAGCATTAAAAAAAATTTTTAAATTCATTTATTTTGAAATGTGAATGAATATCCTTTCCTGAGGCCAACTAGTCAACTTTCCCCTTTGCCTAAAACAGGAACTGCCATGTACCTATTTCCAAGTGTCTGTGATCCCAGTGTAGCCAGTTTAGCTGTGAGGTAACTATTTTAAAAATCAGGATACCAGCCCCCATCTTCCATCTGCTCCCAATTCGAATGAATGATAAAAAGGGAAACAAGGTACAGGTCCTTCCAGGTATATGAACAAGATTAAAAGTGCGGATTTTTCTTTTACCCTCAGAGGTAAAAGAGGGCTTGTCCCTGCCCCTGAGGACTTGTGTGAATGGAAAGAGAAAGTGTGGAGCTCAGTGTTCCATTCCTATTTGGAATGCTGATGTTTGTAGTTTAGGGAAAATATAAATTAGAAATTACTACAAGGGTAATGACTAAGAAAGCCTATTCATCAGAAAGTCTTTATTAATCTATTTTTAAAATTAAACAAAGATGTTCCTTCCCCGAAAACAAAAGAGAAAAACAGTATCAGGAGAGAAAGAGTGCATTAAATCCCATCACATTTAGAGAGAGGAAGTTCCAAATAAAAAACCTTAAAGATGTTATCTTGTAGAAGAAATAAGCTTTTTAATAATATAGGAAGAGTTAAGAAAAGTTCTCTGGGGGAAAAATAAATGGAAATTGTACTTCAAAAAAAAATAATATAGGAGCCTTTCTCTACCGGCTCAAACCCCAACACACACCACCAAATAATCTATAGAGTAGGGCTTTGGGCGGCACTCCTTCAGATCATTTGCAAATACTATTTACTCCTTACAATTATAAACTACTTTACAATTTGCAAAGCTCTTAAAAAAGTTCAATTGAGCCCTAGCTGGTTTGGCTCAGTGGATAGAGCATCGGCCTGTGGACTGAAGGGTCCCAGGTTCGTTTCCGGTCAAGGGCACATGCCTGGGTTGCAGGCTCAATCCCCAGTAGGGGGCGTGCAGGAGGCGGCCAATTGATGTTTCTCTCTCATCATTGATGGTTCTATCTCTCTCTCCCTCTCTAAAATCAATAAAAACATATATTTAAAAAATTTTATTTTTCTAAGCACCCTATGGTACATGGGCAGGTATTCACAATTACACAAAAGAGAAAATGAGCCCGAGAGGTTAAGTAGCTTGCCCAAAGCTAATCAATGGCGTTCTCAGCACTGGGAGCCAAGGCTTCTCATTTCCAGTCCTAAATTCCGTCCACTACATCTTACTATGACCTACTTAAAAGACATTATTCTAGTAGGGAGTGGTTAATTAACTCAACTGAAAGATATTATCTTTGAAATGGCAGCTCTCAGCAAGACAAACTGCACACTAGTATATGATGCACACTCCATGGTGAATTTCACTTGCTTTAGTTTACTTAAAGGAAAATCAAATTATGCTACAACAAAAACACAAGCAGCAGTCACTACCTCTGCTTAAAGTGGCTTCCTCAATCTAGGCACTAGGATAAATGCTATATACACATTATTTTATCCTCAAAACTACTCTGAAACTATATCCCAATTTTACAAAAGAGGCAACTAATGTAAAAAGTTAATGAGATTACAAAACTAGTAAAGGCAGTGCTCCAATTTAAACCTAGCCCTCAAGCCTTAGCCGGTTTGGCTCAGTTGATAGAGCGTTGGCATGTGGACTGCAGGATCCCAGGTTCAATTCCAGTCAAGGGCTCATGCCCTAGCTGGGGGCTCCATCCCCAGTAGAGGTCATGCAGGAGGCAGCCAATCAATGATTCTCTCTCATCATTGATGTTTCTGTCTCCCTCTCCCTTCCTCTCTGAAATCAATAAAAATATATTTATAAATAAATAAATAAATAAACCTAACCTACAAAACATTAGATCTTCGAGTAACTACACTCAGGGGTCCTCAAACTTTTTAAACAGGGGGCCAGTTCACTGTCCCTCAGACCGTTGGAGGGCCGGACTATAATTTAAAAAAAAACTATGAATAAATTCCTATGCACACTGCACATATCTTATTTTGAAGTAAAAAAAACAAAACGGGAACAAATACAATATTTGTATTTGCATGTGGCCCGCGGGCCGTAGTTTGAGGACCCCTGAACTACAGTATGCCAGTTGTTAAAATATTATCTTTTAGTTACACAGAGGTTCCATAAGCCACATCCAGAAAATTTTTAAATGCAAGACTCACTGAGATTACTAACTTGCCCCGTGACAAACAGGCAATAAGAGGCGGAGGTACACGAAAGGGCCCAACTTCATAGCCCTTACTGTTTCAACAGCTGAACCACAGGAATGCATTGGACATCTAATGTGTCGTCAGCTTGCAAACATAAAAGCCACGAGGACAAGGTTTTCACGCATACAGTGATGAGACTGTGGCTATAACCTGATAGGTACAATGAACCTACTGTAAGGGTACATAGTGTTTTAAAAAATTGCCATTTTACCCTCTAGTTGTGACTGCTTTCATAAATCTATAACTGTGGGCTTGTTTTACACATGTTGAGTTAGAAACTATATTGTAATTACTTCCTTTATGAAAAAGTAGCAGTCTTCTCCCCCATAAAATATAACTCATATTTTAAAAAGCTACGACATTCACCATCCAAACCAAAACCCAGCACGATGCTGTATAATGAGCATATACTCAAGCATCTGTATCTCCTGATTGGTAATGGAGTTAAGGCCTAGGTTGGATGCTAGTAGCAAACAAGATCTGGATTTCAGTTCAGCCCTCAATAGAACCAAGAGGTGACATGCCAGTCAAACCAGTGTGGTGTGCAAACCCCTCCTGTCAGTAAGGACTGTACAAAGTACATCTCTAGAGTCCTTTCTCTTACCATGTCACAGATAAGAACTGAAAAGAAAGCCCACGTCCCCCTTAAATTCCAACAAGCAACACCATGTTAGGAACATTTGTGTATAGTGAATAACGACTTTTATACCTATCTCCCATCAAAGCTTACACTATCAAAGCTCCTATGGCAACGTAACAAAATAATCTTTTGTCCTTCAAGGAATCTGTCACGTGCCACAAAAATGTGAACTGGTCCAAAGGACAGTAGCATAACCGGATGAGGGAGATGACTGAAAGTTTCATGTAGGCTGAAGCCTAACTTTAAGGCACGAGGAACAAAACTAGAAAACAAAATTGAGCAATCAAGATATACCAAGAAAAAAAAAGGAAGCAAATGAACTTATCACTCCTTGTTACAGCAGTAACATACAGCTATTTTGAAATTACATATAATACACTGCAATGTTCTTTGTGTGGTTCTAGAATCTAAAATAAGATGGCAAAATAAAAATGTATATACATCAAAGGAGAATGCCACTAGAAACGTCTCATTTATGCAGCATACATTTGTATAAGTCCACAAATCATTAAAGACACTGTTGGGGCTAGACATGTTTCAGAATAAAGAATTTTCAGGTTTTAAAAGAGTACAATCCTTACTTATTTAAACTTCCCAGTGGTTTCTGAAAGTGTCTCTCAATCACAGAAATATTTGTGCAATAAAATATATCCATATTCACACCAAATGGGATAAGTCAAGACTATAAATAGCCTCACTTTTGCCACCAATCTTAATATAAAACTTGCAGTTTCCAGAGCTTTTGTATTTCAGAATTATGAAAAAAGGATTCTGTATTATAAATTGGTTTTCTCCTCCAAAGGCAAATTGGTCCTTACAAAGCTTGCCATTTTCCTTTGCAAGTTCAGAAATAACTCCAAAACAAAAAGAAAAAAATCCACTTAATTAATAAAATTTTGCCAAAAACCTGTGGCTTGAGTAACTTTTCCCCTTAAACAGTTACAGAAACTATGAAATATAGAAAATATTTAGTCATAAAATCCCTGTTGGAGAAGTGGGGGAAGATTTAGAGTTTAAGCCAAACTGAATAACATTTAATATTTCCAGGAACAACCTCTCCCCAACTGCATGCAGTATCTTAAAATAATCATAGACTGTGCCTTGTGTTAACTGTTTACATGTGTGTTTTTGCCTCTTTTATTAAACCAATATTTCACTAATGAAATCATTTTTCTAAAAGGCATTGTACATCGTCTTAAACATAGCATTCACCCAAATAG